GCTTGTAGTGGAACATGACAACCCACTTCAGAAATCGCTGTTCTGCATAGGAAAAAGTAGGCATCACTGAAGATGTATGAGAGATATCTGTGGGCCTGTCTTCAGCAGAGAACTGTTCCATAGTAACAGCCTGCCATAATGTGCACACTGCAAAATTTCCAACAGCACTGAACTCTATGGGATTTCTGCTGGAGAATAATTTTGGCCCTCCAGAAATGCCACCAGGAGATTCAAAATGGAGCTCAAGTGTATGAAAAGGCAGCTGAAAGTCAGGCATTTTACTCTCCCTTAGAAAAGGATAAACAGGACTGTAATAAGAAAATTGGATTTATACATTTATTGTTTTTATAAAATAGATGCTTAACAACTCATATATTGACCTGTAACACTCTAGTCTTCCCATCTCTTTATTTTTCTATTTATTCAGGCAAACACACTTCTCTAATACAGAGACCAAAGACTGATTTTGCACATCACATCCACAGTAACAAAAGGAATAACTTGTGCTACACTTTCGTATATGGAACATCTGCTTTATGAACACAAGTTCACAAGTTGCACACAAGGAAGTTAACAGAGCTGGAACGTCTTGGGAGCCCAGCTCTGGAAAAGACACAACATAGTTGCATGCTTTCTAGCCGAATAAACTGCTCATGCAGTTTTATCTACCAATTTTTCCTAGACTGGTTGCTTACCAGTTGATTACCAAGAAACCGAGTTGCATGGCAAAGTAAAAAACCAAGAAAAAACTCCTAACCTTAACTTCAGAAGAAGTATTGGCAAATACTAAAATTGATCTATTTTTAATGTTAGCTGTTTAAAAAATATATATCCTTTAGCAACCTATTTAACCAGTAGCAGAGAAGGAAGAAACTAATCTATACTGATCTCATGTTAAGATATTTTGCCAAACGCGATTCAAGAGTTCACCTTGGATCAAGTGCAGTATTTAAGAAGTATCATTTGATCAATGTATTGCTGGGAGACAGAATGATCCAGTAGATATTCCTATCTGTAATTATTAGTATGATCCTTGAAATATGAACATTTAAGCCTCATGACACTGAAATTTTTAATAATGAACGTGATAAAGCATAACTATACTCAACTAAGGCTAACATCAGTTTATTACTTAAATCTTCGGCTTGCTTTCTACTTGCTAAGGTTCCAACAAGAAGCCCTCTACTGCTAGATTTCTCTGAGAACACATTTTGTCATACAGGGTTGGTTACCTTTTCAATTATCAAGGGAAAGAATTCATCTGTTTCCTTAAAGTAGAGCCAATGAGCCTTTTTAGTAATGGCCAATTACGAAAAGATTCACTTTTCACTTCATGATAAACTACACATTTATGTCCTCATCATGACCGCTTCCTGTGAGAAAAAGCGTGCTGCACAGCTCATGATGAAGACAAAAAATACCAAAGAACTTGCTTTTTTCCCCCTCCAACTTCTTCAGGATTCTTCCCTGGTTTTCTTCATTTTTTAGTTAATCCTTTCTTCCATGTCACTGCTTTAAGTTTACTCACATTTTAATGCAGCTGACAAATCATAAATTTCATATATACAAAATAATATTTCATAATCTCACATGCTAGTAAAATGTAAAAAATCAAGATGAAAACAAATCCTATGTCACCTAATAATTATTGTTACTGACTTAGCCTAGCTAAAAAAAACCCTAATGATGGAGGCTAGTAAATTGCTCCAATTTCACAGCCTATGGAGGTTTTCTGGTAAGCTTTCTTTCTGTTGTTTATTTAAGAAATACATCATTATATTCCTTGTCTGTTGTCTCCACTAAAAGTAAGACACCTACATCAGGCCAAAGAGTTTCCTAAGAATTTAAGAGTTAGAAAGAGGAATGAACTACTTAGTTTGTCCACTTTACCCTGGTTTGAAAGTCATATTTTTCTTTCTGAAAGAATCAACAGGAATTACTGTAGTACTCTACATTAATCCACATCCTAGTATACTGACATTAATATTACTGTTTAACTTTCTCAAAGTTGGTTTGTTCAAGGTTATAGTTCACCGTATTCACTAAAACTGGGCAACTGTGAATTAGTAGTCTAACAAAAATCCAAAGTGTGCCAGATATGAGCTGCAGTCACTTCAGTTTAAATCACATTCAAGCATCACTCTGTGTACACATTTCAATGCATTAAAATAACTGCCTTCATCTTTATGTGCATGAGGATCGAATCACCCAGTGGACATTGGGAATTTAAACTAGTGAAAATAACTGCTCTGCAGACAGTGGCACCCTTTCCAGAGGTTCTCTGAGGGAAGCTTTAATTTGTGATTAGGGCTTCGTGGGAGCCTGACTAATAAAGGTGCCTTGGGGACAGGCTGAATTCATATCGCCATAAAATGCATGCATGTGTGTGCACAGGAGGCCACACTAGTCACGGGTAAGACAGACAAATCAAACGGTAGCATCCCCCATCAGCTTTTCTATTATCTGCCCCACTTTGTGCCAATTTCCTCCAGCTTCCCCAACACCTCTTGCTTTGCTGTTCTTCCTTAAGACATGGGATGGGGATTTGTCAAAGTCAATGAGCACTTTATTACAGTGAGAGTGCTCAGTAATGAACAATTCAGCAATTTAATGAGATTCTGTAGATCTGTCTCCAGCCTGTCCATCAAGTTTCACTTCTATAAAGCACCCTGACACTAATCCTCTGGCATACCCAATCTTCACCCTGGGCTGAATATTAGATTCTTCCATGGTATATTGCATTACCACTATAACCTTAGCAAAAATGATGAACTTAACTACACTTGAGGCAATATAGCTGGTCTGATTTGATTTTCTTCTATTGGGTTGACTATGAGGGAATTACTTATTTACTAAGATAAAGAAAAAACCAGTTTCTTATTGCCTTCTGAATGCTTAAATTGGTAAATATTTATGTGTGTCTTTTAATTCATTCTGGGGACCTGGAATATTGATATATATATATATATATATTTATTCCTGGTTGTACAGACTGAATTAAAAAGACACACATACATTTTGCCTGCAGCGGAAAACTGGTTTAAAAAAATTATTCGGAACAGCATTAGTAACCTTTAGAGAGGCAATTATGATAACACTTAAATGGACAGTGTGGAGTTTGTTGTCACTCAAAAAGCAGCATATTACCTATAAGTATCTCTGCCCAGTATGACCCTGCAACAGAAACAGAAGCTTTGTCATATTTACTTCACGAAGTGTTCATTGACTGGAGTGCACACAATTAAGAAAATTATTTCTGAGTTCTTCCTGCAGGACAGGACAATGACACAAGATTTAAAAATTCCCACTTCCCAAACTTTGTTTCAGCAGGTTGTACAGGGCATATTACTCCGTATATGCTTGCTCATTACTGAGCTGGCATTAAATAATACTTGTGTGGCTTTCTGTAGCAACTTTTCTAGCAAAAGTATACCCAAGCATGTAGCTAGGAGATTTCACTAACCCTGCAGAGAAATTATGATAAAACCCAACTGGCCAATCAATCAGCAATGCCCCATATATGAACTTGTACATCAAAACCTTTTCTGATAAAGGGAATATGGGCTAGTACTCCAGAGTATCATGCCTCAAAAAACCAAACCAAACCCATCATCATGGGTAGTGTGCTGCAGGTTCTGTTGTACAGACATCCTCCAGAGACTAGGACAGGCTTTATATTAATGTTTGCAGTTGTTAATATAACTTTATATTAATATTTGCAGAAAATATAATCTTTGTAAAATACTCCATAATCTAAAGCCTCAAAGTTTCGGAAACAAATATGCTACTTATCTGATTGAAGGGTTAAGTTACATCTGCATACTGTCTTTGTGGTTTGAAGAGCTTAACTAGATATTTTTATTTTTTAAGAATAAATATTTTGTTCCTGCATGATGTTATTCATCTACAGAACATGAAGTGCTCCACAGATGAACACACATTTTACACTTTGAGAAAACGATGGCATATAGATGAAATTATTTGCTTAGAATAATCCAAACGGTAAGTAGATAAATAACAGGGACTGGAATATAAATCAATCTTCTGACTCTCAGTCTTCTCTGTTGGAACAAGATAACACACTTGCTTGAAAAAAACCTGCGGTTTCTTTTTAGGAAGTTACATTCTACCTTGAAATACCCTGAAATACTTCCCTTCTATAAAACATGACAGCAAAAAGGAAACAGAAAGAAGTGTTTGGGTAACCAGTGTTATAGAGATTTCCTTCTACTGTACTGTGAATTGCAATTTTTAGAGACATATGACAGGAATGTTTCCAACAACAGATTTTGTTCTAGTTTTTGTGTTTCTCTTTACAGGCTACGTGTTTTTTTTCACATTAGGTTTCCCACCCTACCCCCCTCCACACTAAAGGTCACAACATAATGCTTTCATCTTGTTAATATTCTATGACTAGCAACATGGTCCTTTTCTAGAGCCAGATTTTTAAAAAGAAATGATCACCACCTCCAGATTCTTGCCACAAATCTGCCACTGATGCCTCCACTCATTTCTGAGCAGAGCAGCCTGTGTGATGATTCACTAATTTGCTTCAGGCAAAGTCATCTATGGTGGCCTAAACAATTTAAAATGACTACTGAAGTTACACAGTTAAGTTTGTCTGAAGTGAATGGGAGAGACTGCAGAAGCAGGTTTGCTGCCAGACATGCAGCACTAGCCTCACCAGAGGCAAAGATAATTGAGTTGCATGTATTGGCTACCCCTTCCCACCAACAAAGTTGGATCTGGAAGAAAATCTCTGGCCACATGAGAGTAACACAAGTTAAGCAATAAGACAAATTTCTCTTTCAAACAAACTAATTGCATTAACACAACACAACATTTTTTGAATTTCATTTAAAAATTTCCCTCGGTTGTTATTCACAGTTTTTGCTCAAGTGCTTATTCTCCCTCGTGATTGCTCCAGGGTTTCAAAACAACAGATTACTGCTATGGTTTATAGAGTATCACACATTCTGCTTGTTCACCAACCTCCTTACCTGCCAGATTTGTTCTTCACTGAGTGAAGTGAGTCTATCACTTTTAAAAACCTCTCGAAGGAGACAGTACGGGAGTGCCAGAACTTCTTCAGGATGACTCTTCAATAGCTCAGAGAGATGTTTTACTAAGAAGTCAATCACTGCGTTCTCCAACAAAGTGAGATTGAAGAGGTCCGCAAGCTTATACAGGTCCAAGTAATTAAAGCTATTTAATTCCTAAATGGGTAAAGCAAACAAAATACATCTCAGGGGAAAAAAAAAACCAAACAAACCACAAAACAGAGAACAAAAAACCCCACAGGTCTCAGATAATGATAAAAGGTTGTTCTTTTGGAGCTGTGGAGAAGGAAGGTAATATAACTTGAAATTAATTAACACAGCCTCATTCAAAATGTATGCATAAATGTTACCAGTGCATATGCAAATATATACAATAGTACTAATTTATATTGCAACTGCTAAGGTTATCTATGCATACAGCATCTGTAAGAAATATGGATTAGTACACAAAATAATAAACCAGCATGATTTACACTGTATGACAAGAGCTTGCAGGAGTTAACAAGTGGATTAAAAAAATGTATTTGTTAACTACAATGGTTTGTTACAAAGCAATTGTTTGTTCATTATTTACCGTTTTGATTGAGCTAGAGAACCTGTGTAGTACGACTTTTAGTTGCATGATACAAAATACGAGATGCTGAGCTACATTTTATTATGTATAAATTTGTCTTCAATGAACATATAGATCCTTTTTTTCCAACCACTGATATCAACCTATAGTGGATGTTGGCCTCGTATTCTTTCTCCCCCTCCTTCTAGCAGCAGAAAATCTGCAGAGACAAAAGCTACAGTAACTCAGTGCAGGAAGTTTTTTCCATCCTAGTAACAGATAACCTATTATTTACAGGCTAATATTTTCAACTTGGCATCCCTTGTAAATTAGCATCTGGACAGCTAACTACTGCTATTCTAGACCATACGCTCTTCAGGGGAGAGGCCAAGAACTCATCCGTATTGGAGAAAAGCACCCAAGACGTCTGGGAAATAAGCATGTTTACCCGTTTTCTCGGTTCTTGCTGTATGCTCACACTTCTCTTCCTCTCCCCTCTGCAATCCTGGTTTTCATCTTCCAATTTACCGCATTGCTCCCTATCAGCCGCCTTCTCCTTGACCAGCTCCATGTGCGAAAATGACAAGAAGTCTTGTCAGTTTCACTTTGCTGGTTAGTTAGCATAGGGACTAGAGCAGGAAAGAGAAACAGACTAAATTAAGTCAATTTCACTTTCACTGCTCTGCTGGATGGAATGGCAGCACCAAATGAAACTGACAAGAAATCTTGTAAATGTCAAATGAGCTGCACGGCTGGCAGATAGAGCAGAGCAACAGGGAAGATGGGAAAGTGCGAAGAGGGGGTTTTTTGGAATGTTTTATGGACTACATCTTGAACGTGTGAATTGGGTGGCTGTCCCAATGACTGTGGAGCTGTTTATGCATATGCAATGGAGAGTGGAGAAAGAATTTTTTTCACCTGCTTAGAGGAGTCAGTACTGGAGAAAACTGAACCAAATTCCTGTGGAGGCTCCTGCTTCTTACGTAATCTCCCAGTCTGAACGGCGCACCTTCCCTGGCAGGCTTGTACATTAAAGATAAATCCTATTTGTTATCTACTTAAACTGCTGCACAGGAGTTTCACATTGTTTTCTTGGATGAACGAAGAAGAGTCCTTTATGTTGTCAGAACAACCACTAACAGCCATCATTCCAAAAGCCACAGATACGGTTTACTTATGGTTGTTGATTGTACTCCTATTTATTGTCCCTGGTTTGGAAGACTATCTTTTCAAAAAACTCCCTGATTGAAAGAATGCCAAACATCCAGAAAGAAATTTAGAAGAGCTCAGTGTACATTTATTGAGCTCTTTTGTAGTCAACAGCTATATCTGGGGAGGATTAAAATAAACAAATAAATAATCAAGCATTGTGATCTGAGGATCAGCTGCCCAACTAAAATAAAGGCCTGATCAAACCCCACTAAGCATCAATGGAGAAGGACAGATCGCTTTTGGTGGACTTCAGAAGAGGACAATACTGGATATACCATAATAAAAATCTTTCTTCAGTAGAGAGAAACAGTAATATGACACACAAATGCGGTTTTCCCCTGAAAAATCTTCACATTTTCAGTGCAATCTGAAAGGCACTGGCAAGCCTTCATTTTTGGTTTGGGTATTTTTGATGATCCCCCAAACTCCCCTATCCCCTCAAATCAACACCAATTGAAGTTTTCTATGAACGCTGTCATACAGTTGAAGAGGCCAAATATACTTATGGATGGATGGATAAACTCTCACCATTTGTTTATTTACAATATTATTTTTTTTTATTTGTATGTGTTCACTTATTTCAGATGCTTATTTATTTATGTGTCTATTTACTTATTTATTATGGGGGTTTATTTGTTTACTTATTTTCATTGGTAAGCTTCAGAGGATTTTTGATGCTTCGCCTAACATAATGTGTTAGTGACCTGCTGGACTTATGGTTTACTGCTTGATGAATATTGCAAGTATATTTCGTTAAAACTGGTCTTGGCCTATAATCAGAAACATTTGTTTCTGTTTTTGTAAGGTTAGAGTTGATCTACAGGTTTGTATTTCACAGCCAAAGAAGCAAGTAGTGCATTAGCTTTCACAAATTAAAATTATCAGACTGTCATACCAATATTCAAATCAAAATTATACAGTACTATACATTACTCTGTCTGTGATGGTATTAGAGGGCAAAAATGTCACACTGAGATTGCAAGATGTATACCACAGATCAGATAACCTTGCTCTTCATATGTGGTAAGACTTTCAGAAACATCAGACTAAAATGCAGAATGTACGTTAATTGCAAAAAAAAAAAAAAAGGGGGGGGGGGGGCAAAAAAGCACCTTACCTTCTAGCTTTAAAAAAAATCCAACAGGAAGTATCAAAGCAATCATTGTCAACTCAGTCTGATTTGAATAGATTTTCAAACTAAACTCTTAACTGAATTAAAAACTTTGTTAAAAATGAAATAGGTTACTATGAAATTACATTTAGGTGTGGTCATGAATAAGAGTTCTGGCAGTCTCTTGTTCTCCACAAATTTTATTATATTGTGTTAAAAGAGCAGCTACAAAATTTAAAAGTCGTGTGCAACTGCGTACTGTATCGCAGTACATGTTCTTTAAAAACATGCAATACAAAACAGGCTTGTTTTTATAAACTTTTAAATATATGCCACTTATCTTTTTTGAACTGAAGGATGAAATATGAACACAAGCAGAACTGTCACTAAGAGCTGAAGAGAATTAGGGAAAGGTAGCGATCCTATCTCTTCTAATATGATGTATGTTACACTGCTGAAACACATTCAGACTAAGAAAATATGTATAAGATTATATATATAGATCTTACAACTAGCAGTTGAAATAGTTCTAAAATCTCACAGTAAACTCAAACCAAATTAATAAATTGGCCAAATTATCTATCAGTGGCTACTTCTAAAATGAGAAACTATCTTTGATCCTATGCATTCTACTTACTATACATCCCCCCGCTCCCCCCCTCTCTGAAGTAAGAGAATCCATTGTTCTACAGTACCGGTCTTCTGATTCAGTAGTATCAACCTTTAGATGCCAAACCAATTTAACAATGAGCTGACATTTAAAACCCTCGTAAAAGAAAATCAGTTTTCCGAACAAACATAATCTGAAAGATGACAATATTAAATATTCAAAATAAATTGTCCATGTTTTAATATGGAGGTGTATTTTAATATAGAGATATGATAAATTGTCAAACAGGAATAATAGATATAAACATTGTATTTAGATTACTTCCAAATCCATCTTTATTCGTTTGTACTTTAAAGAATAATTGCCTTGCACAAGCCACAGAAAAGGATGTAACAGATTGATAAATTAGAGTTAATCATAACCAAGTACACAGCAGACTACAATATACTTCTATTCCGCTGCTCCGTGTTATAAATAGCAGAAAAAGCACAAGGAGAACTAAGGGGAAAGAATGCATTTCTTTATGACCTTATTTGAAAGATAAACTCCTTGGGGAAATACAATTTATTCAGATTATCAAGACCCTGCTGTGCAAATCTACAGTCTGGGAGCACACTACAGAGATCAAACAATATTTACTTTATTCTGTTGGGTATAAAAGCTTTTAATGAATGCATAATTAAGACAGAAAAAGTATATACAGCTTTAGAATTCCACTGCCAAGCCAAGCCATTAATATCCAAAGTATCATACCCAGTTGTAACTCCACCTGCTTCCTATTTAGATTACAACACTGTTATAAATCAAGGTATTAAATTACTAGCCCTGCTGCTGTAACAGAGAAGAGTTGCATGGTGACACTATTTCCCCTTTTCCTAAAAGGGGTTCAGCCTCTTTAAAGCAAAAAAGGAAGTGTGAAGTCTCTGGGACAGGAATGTGTTTATTCAAAATCCTTAAGCAGCACCTAGCACAACAGGGTCTTGACCCCAAGTCCTCCAGGTTCTCTGCTATGTTAAACACTATGAACCAGCTGCACCATTCAGAAGAGAACCTTGACATAAATCATAGCAAAGACAGACTCTAAATAGATAAGGGATAGTAACAAAATGAAAAATTGTAGAGACAAAAATATGCTTATCTGACAACAAAAGCGATCAACACAATTTTAAGAGAAAATAAATGCGGTTCTGTTGCTCTTCCTTTCTCTATCAAAGGTTCCAGTTCTGCAAAACCTCACATACTTACCTAAGGACTAACAGATCATGCACATATTCAACAGCACTGCAGACTGTGTTTCTGTTTCTTTCTAGACATACCTATTTCATACTAAGCATAAGCACAAATCCTTCAAAAACTAAATCTTACTTGAAATTTTTCTCCACTAAACACCAAAGCCATCCAGTTGAACCATGAAAGACATTTTGCTGATGCCGGGTCACAGTGGAACAGCTGGGTCAGAATTCTGCAGTGTATAAAACTGTGTTTACATTTATTACACAGTCAGTGCAGACTGTAGTAAATGTATTTATAGGCACAGTAAAGGATGACTTTTTAAATGACTCATTTTATAAAATTAATTTTTCTGGTAGATCACTGCTTTCTCAATGCTTTCTGTAATTCTTGCTTTTGTTTTCTCTTTTAAGCATGAAAAGTTATTTTGCATCCTTGCT